AAAAAGAGAAAGACAAGAAAGGAAAAAAGAGAGAAAGAGAAAAGAGAAAAAAAGAACTTTGAGGCTCTGGCAAAAGCTGCTGCAGGGGTTAAAAAAAAAAAGCAAATGAAACCTCTTAAATGGCATAGTGGTCCCTCCTGGTGCCCGATACTGGGAAGAAGAGAGGAGGGAAGAGAAGCCCCCCTGGAAGGAAGGCCACCTCTGGCAGGTGGCCCAAGAGGACCTTTTATCTCAGGTGGACTGGTTGGCCCCTGACAATTTTTATTTTCAGAGGAAATGATGAGGTCACCTAAGTCAGGAGACAGAGAAAGAGCCCTCAAACCTGGGTAGAAATGAAGAGCCCAGAGGGCTGCCCAAGGTCCCCAACATCCTCCACCTCATCCCCACAAATGTAGAGGTTTAACGGGAGCGATGAACAATCATTCGGGTCTCTGTCAAAGGGATGAAGACGTGAGGAGCAACCTTGAAGGCCAGGCAACAAGGAGAGACGCTCTTGTGAATAAGAGGGAGCGTCGCCTGCCATGTCTGCCCTAGGTGTGCAAGTAGTAGGCAGGCAGGGAGGATGGGATGGGGGGCAGTTCCAAAACAAATAGAATCTCTTTTGTAGTCAAGTTCAGGGATACAGCACTATTCATTCGTTCAATAAATAATTTGTCATCACCTGTTCTGTGCCAGGCACTGGGCTAGGCACGCAGTTGTAGGCAAAATAATTCTCCCCAGTTTCCTCAAGCACACGGTCTCAAATGCCAGACGCTGAAAACTCACTGGGGAGCTTGTTAAAGTGCACACTTCTGGGCTCCATCCCTGGAGAGTCTGACTTGTTAGGTCCTTGGTGGGGCCCAGACAGTCACACTTAAAAAAATACCCCAGTTGATTCTAATGCATGATGGCATGAAGACCACCAGGTTTTGAGAAACGCTGGCCTGGGGAAATACGAAGGGGTAATAACTCAAAGAAAGGAGGCCAGGAATTTCCCCTGATGCCAGCGTCCTCGAATTAAAAGAGCTACTGTATGCAAGGGACCCAACACAGGGGCTGTGTTTCCTTCATCATCATCACCATCTTCTTCATGATCATCAAATCGAATGAACTGAGGATGCGAGATTGTGCTGTCAAGAACCAATGCCAGGCGAATCACGTCTTGTGCTTTCCACTAAAACTCAGGAAGTCCAAGGCCCCTCTTAGGGCAGGGGCGGGGGTGCAGGCTCGGGGCCACATTCAGCACCTGGGACAGAGAGTTTACAGGAGGAGCAAAATGGCTGCCCAGGAAGAGACGAGAAGGAAATGAGGTAGCCTAGAAGAAGGCCTCCTGCGACCAGTGGGTCAGTCAGACACTAGCCTAGCAGCTGCCAGGTTCCAGGTGCTGAGGCGGGGCTGTGGCAGAACCGGGGAGCCTAAACTGGGGTCTCTGTGCTCACGGATCAATCCACTTCTTCAGCCACACACCTGCTGCATCGCCTCATGGCAGCACAAAGGACAGAGAACCATCTGACAGAACAACAAAAGGAGCTCACAGGCCAGTGTGTGGAATTGCCTTGGTGGCCCAGAAAGTGCTAGAATGGTCTGGAAAACGCTTAGAGCTATAGCTGACTAACCTGCTGCTGGGACGAAAAGAAAGCATTGACTCAGAAGTTGCAAGCAACAAGCCCTCCAGTCAAAGGCCAAATTAGAGTGAGAGAGGCACCGTCTAGGCAGCAATGCCCTCAAATGAGCTATGTGACCTTGGGCAAGTCACTTCCCCTCTCTGAGCTTCAGTTTCCTCATTTGTAAAATAAGGGGGCTCAGCAAGATGTCTTCAAGGGTCCTGGTATCTCTGAAGCCTATAAAATTGTTCTTACTTAGAAGAACAATAATTCCCCCCGAGCTTTGCTGGCCTTAAGGGCTTCTGGTCACGAAAGCCATAATAAAGAAAGTAGAGAGGAATTAAAACTCTTAGAGGTGTAAAAATACTAAAAATAAGATTAAAATTAAAGGCTGGCCACCATCGGGAAGCTTAAACATGAGCTGAGATAAACTCGGGTACTGACAGCCCTCAGCCCACCCCATACCCAGGACCCCACTCAAGCTGAGTCCATCTCACGGCGACAGGACTTGGTGTCACAATTTGACCCATTAGCTTTGGAGAAAAGAGCAGAGCGAGTGGCGAGGCTGTTCCTCTGTTGATGCCCGTTCAGTCAGCTTCTCAGATTTCCTTGTGGACAATGACTTCCTGAGGGTGAACTCAGCACGGGGAATCCCAAGGGCATTTGAGTGTGTGCGGACACCGGGCGTAATTTCCAGCTCGTCACCATCACCGTGAATTAATTAATAGACGGGTCGTATCCCAGCACCTCTGTTGCTGCTTCCTACCCTGAGGAGCAGCAGCCAGGGAAGGAAGCCCAGACCCTGAGTTTCACGTCCTTTGGACCCGCTGAGGTGTGTCTGCTGGCTTCCTGCATCAAAGGATGGAAAACTGCCTAACAAACTGGACGCACCCGAAACAAGGTTTGCAAGCAGTTGAGTAAGGACTCAAAGGGGGTGAAGAGAGAATTTGTAGGTGAAATGGGCCTGGGCTCAGGACTCTTTGAGCTGTTTTAACACACTGCTTATCCCTTCTAAATCCAAGTTTCCTCATCTGTATGATGGATACGGTGATACTGACCTCTCAGAGGTATTGACAATCCTTCTGCCTTGACCGTGTAAACAGCAAAAGGACAAGTGCAGTGCCTGGCACTTAGCAGGGCCCAGGAAGGGGAAGGGAGGGGATTCTATTGCCCGAAAATTGTCCCACACGCTCTTACAGAGCGTTTCCCTTTCCCATTTCACCTCCCTTCAACCTGGGCGGAACTTTGTGCCTTCTTCAATGAATAGAATGTGCCAGAAGTAATCCTGCCTGACTTCTGAGATTAGGTCATAAAAGACAACACAGTCTCTTTCTGGCTTTCCTGGGACATGCCCCTTGGCATCCCTGGGCTCATATTAAGAAATCCGGTGACCCAGAAGTCACCAGGCTGGAGAGATGGTGTGGAGAAAGCAAACAGAGATGGAGAGAGATGCCAGGGAGCCCCAGCTGCTCCATCCTCCTGCGACTGAGTCTTCCTGGCCCGGGCATCAGACAGTGAGGGAGGGAGGGTGCCTTCAGAAGGCTCCAGCCCCCAGGCTTCAAGCCACTCCAGCTTTTGCCAAGTACAGCAGAGGAGAGCTGACCCCGGCCCTTGAGAAAGATCAGTGCTGTTGTGGTTTCTAAGTTTGTGATGGTTTATGCTGCAGCCCTTGACGTCTGGAAGAGGGCAACACTGGGATTGTCATCGTTCAGCCTGGAAGATGCAGAGAAGGACTCAGGATTGGGACTGGACGAGGCGGAGAGGAAGCCCACCAAGCAGGTGTGTGGGGCAGACCCTAGATGACCGGAGGCTACCCCTGGCATATTTCTACCAGCTCTTGTGGGGATGGGGCCTTCTTAGAATTCCCTGGGGCAGTTACCTGGGCAAGAAGACAGAAAATACTGAGAAAGCCAGCTATAGGGCTGGAAAAAAGTTCTGAGACCTTTCCTACGACTGCCCCAAGAAAAGGAGAGAGGAAGCCAAGAGCAAGATGCTCATCACCCCCGCCCCGGAGCCCCAGCAGGCCATAGAGATGGCCAACCTTCAAGCCAAATCCGCCTGCGGGAACAGCGGATGGTGCCGTTCCAAACCCTCAGCCAGGGATGGGCAAACTACAGCCAGTGGCTAAATCCAGCTTTCTGCTGTGTTGGTAAAGAAAGTTTTATTGGACCACAGCCATGCTCTTTTGTTTACACAGGGTCTATGGCTGCTTTCACACTACAACCAGCGAGCTGTGTACTTATGAGAGAGACGTCTGGCCCACAAAACCTAAAAATATTTACTATTTGACCTTTACAGAAGAAGGTTGCTGACCCCTGCCCTAACCTATCAAAAGTGGAATCCTGGTCCAAGATGCCCTGCCCTGGGGGTCCGCCCCATTCATTCGCTCAGTCGTTAGACACTCGTGAGCACCTCATTCACAGCAGGCTCCAAGCTCCACCTTGGAACAGAAAAATGAATAGATACAGTCCTTGTCCTATAAGAGATCGCAGGGCTGTGCAAGGGACCACCGCACAATCACAGGATTATGGTACAGAATGGAGGCACAGCCTGTAGGAGTCTGGCAGCCTAGAGAGAGGCGACCCATCCTGCTTGGGAGTGGTGGCCAGGGAAGGCTGGTCATTCCAGAGGAATGACGGTGGCACTGGGTCCTGAAGGACAAGCAGGATGTGGTGAACACATAGGGGCAGGTGAGGATAGAGGGGGTTCTGGACAGAGGGAAGGATACACACAAAAGCAGAAGGGGAGGGGGAGGGCATCTAGAGAGGCAATTCAGGTCACTGTGCTGGGAGTAGCTGGAGAGAGGCGGGCAGTGGCAGGAGAAAGAGCTGGCAAGTTAGGACAGGCAGGTTATGGAGGGCAGGCAGGGCCCCAGGGCAAGGCAGAGATGGCAGGTGCCAAGAGCTATAGCTCGGCCACCACGAAGGACCCTGAAAAGTATAACTCACTCAGAAGGAGAGAGAGCATGCAGAGATGCCACGGGCTGTGCCTACCTTCACCAAGACATGGAGATTTCTATGTGGGTCTGTTTTTCTGTCTTCATCGTAGTGTACCCGCCCTGGGCCTCTGGGCCTTCCTGGGTTCAGAGGGCAGGAGCAGCCATAATGGGCTGTCCATAAACCGGCAGGGCCATCCCTGTGCACATCTTGCTGTTTCCAACCTAATGTGCTCAGTGTCCTTCCTATCTTAGCAAGTTTCTTCTCAAGCCAACTTCCAGGCAGGAAACAAAGACTAATCACCAGGTAGCACACATGAGTGGGCGGGGGGGGGGGGGGGGGGGAGCACAGCCACAGGACGCATGACATCTTCAGGGAAGCTGCAGGTCACTGGCGCCCCCGAAACCACTCTCTAAAAATGCAGCTGGGCACGTGTCTGGGAACAAGCCGAGGAGAGGCGTTCTATCTTCGGCCAGAACGTGGTAGATGAAAACTTGAGGGCAGACAGAGGCCCCCAGACCCTTTGTTCTGTATTGCGCACTCTGTAAAGTTGTGTTGTCCTCCCACTTTCCCTTCATGAGAAGCAGATAACTTTATTGCTACTTCCATAATATTATTGCTAAATACAGAGGTGTTTTCTGAAAACAATCCGAATTGTAAATCCTGTTCCCCACCACAGCTCGGCTTATGCAACTGTTATTGTTATGATTGTTATCATTATTATTTTGTCTAAAGGACTAAGGGGTTTGAGACACTGCTATGAAGAAGGCAAACCCTGAAATGGAAACTTTCCAGCAGGGCCGGTGGGGGGCAGGGCTTCTATGGCACCCGCCTCGGGCTGGACTATCTCGTGCACACCCCCTGCCGAGAAACTTGGTTTTCCTGTGTCAAGAAGGCAGAGATGCCCGGGGATGGGACGGACACTCAGCTTGAGGGCAAGTCCCAGTTCTGCCCTGATGTCCTGGGTGACATTGGGCAACACGTCCTCCAACCTTGGTGGACCTCAGTTTCTTCATCTGCAAAAGGGGAAACTGGATGATCCACCAGTCTTGCAATAAACACTTTGAGCTCCTCTGCAAAATAAAACAAATTTAATTTAATTTAAAAGTCAAAGCCTGTTAAAAACCCACCATCCTAATCCTCAGAGTTGAGAGGTATAAAACCCAAGAAAGCCACAGTCCTCCTGCAGCTTCAGCCTCTTAAACAGTGTGCAATTGGGTCAAGGATCTATAGAGGGCAGCCTCCTGCTAACTAAGATCTAAGGCAAAAACGCTTCCGTTGATCTATACTTTCTCAGCAAATGCAATAGAGCCAGAAAGGAAACGGAAACCAGACAATTAGTTTTTTATCTTTGGAAGTCAAATAAATCTCACATAGACCGACATAGCCATTGGGAAAGTTTAATCTTGAAAATAAAAAGTATGTTTCTAAAGCAGTTATTTACAAATCTCGTTTTCACTAGGGGAAGATTATTCTGCAAACAGGGATGTAACTTGTGAAATATTATCACCTGAATGAGCAGTCTGGTGGCATAGACTCCATGAAAGTGGGCAAGTCTTCTTTGAGGTCCTCTTAAAGCAAATCTCAGGCCACCATCCCATCCCCCACCCCCAGTGGCTTCTTTGATGCCACTCAGGTGTGAAACTTCATGCCGAGGAAGTGGGGTTTTTCCTTTGCAATGTTGCACATCATTCTTTAAATGATCTAGCTTGAGCCTTTCATTCCCATTTTGTGAGCCTTGTGCAACTAGTTGAAATTTATGTTCAAAAGTCTATACCAATTAAGGAGTTTGACCTTACTGACAATAGAAGACATTCCAATTAAAACAAAGAGATACCATGTTTGTATCCTTGTTTGACAAAAATGTATGAATGACAAGTATTAAATTGAGCCATTATGAAATAGTCATTTTTGTAGGTCAAAAATTAGCAATTTTATATGATTCTACCTACATGCCAGGGTTGGTGCCAGGTGCTGGGTGCACAACCGAGATCCAGACTGGTAGGGTCCTGATTTTCTAGGGTCTGATCCCTTGGGATAACAACCAGGCGAGGGGGCAATTTTAATACAGGGTGGTAGGTGCTGTATTAAGGGCAGAACAGGCTGCTGTGAGCCATGAAATAGAGGAGCTGGCCTAGGGAGGTGGGGAATGGCTTCTCAGAGGAAGCGATGGCCAAGTGGAGACAAGAGCAAGGGGAAGTTTCCTTTGCAGTTAAAGCAGGGGCAGTGTTCTAGGCAGAGGGGCTGGCAGGCCTAGAGGGGCTAGCGGTCCTGGAAGAAGTCCAGGGTGCCTGACTCAGGAAGGCCAAGAGGAGAAGCACAGTGCAAGAGGAGAATGGGGAAGCACATGATGGACGGGGTGCGAAGGGCCCTCAGGGCTGCGATGGAGACAGGGTGCTCCCTCCTGAGTACAATGGGGAGCCACTCAGAGATCTGAGGCTGACGAATGGCAAGATCAGTTTGGCCGTTTAGAAAATAAATTCACTCTGCCTTTAGTGTAGAGAATGGATGAAGTGGAGTAAGAAGCTGGGCAAGGAGGCCAGCTGAGGTGAGAGGTGCTGATGGTCTGTTCGAAGGAGGCGGAAACTGAGACAGATAAACAGACAGAAGGGAGATTGTTTTTGAGTTGGAATCTCAGGACTTAGTAGCTGATGGATGCGCGAGACAAGAGAGAGGAGGTATCCGTCACGGGGTGGTGCCCACTCAGATGGGGAACAGAGCGGGAGAAAAGATTTAGGGAGGAGATGATGAGCTCACTGTTGGACATGTTGGGTTTAGGGCGTCTGAGTCTGGCAGCAGCTATATGCTCAGGTCTGATTCTCAGCAGGGAGGTCTTAGCAGGAGTCAGCACAAAGCTCAGGGCTGGAAGAGGCTGTTGAAGGGGAAGGCACACGGCTCGGTCCCCCCAACTCTAATGTAAACATGCATGGGAATCACGCGGGCTTCCATTAACGTGAGAGTTCATGGGCTCCAGCTCAGCCCCACTAATTAGGATCTCAGGGATGGTTGCTGAGAATCTGAATCTTTACCTGGCTCCCTAGGAGATGGATGGAGACAGTCTGGGACCAAACCTGTAGAAACTCTGCTGGTGCTATAGAGGCAGAAGAAAATAATGGCAACAACAGAGGAAACTATAATATTTTCAGTTTCTTAAAAAAAAAAAAAAAGAATCAACACTAGTGAGAAAGACACTATAAATGGCTGTTGGGACAGGTACTGAACTTGTAAATCTAAAGACTTAAAATGACAGTGAAAGAAAAACCTAGAAAAGGAAGAAAAGCCTAGAACTAGGTGGTGAAAGCGGTGAAGAATTCATTTCTTCCTGCCAAGGTGCCCTACCAACCAGTGTTCTTATATTTAATGAAACTCTTGTCATAAAGCGCATTTATGATGGAAATCCAAGGTGGGCAGGTTAAACATACACGATAGGCCCCAAAGAACGAAATTGACCACAACAAAGAAGAAATAGATGCAATACATTAGTCTTGATATTCAAAAGGAACTGTAAAGTAGCTTAGTAAGACATCAGGGTTCCTTATATAGTCAGATGTGTAAATATGCACTCATTGTCTGAGCCTCTACCGAAGGCACAAATCGGGGAGAATATTAATCTCCCCCCCGACGCCCCCACTCCCATTATGCTGTTTATATCTCCATTAGTGCACTCTGCTCAGCCCACCTGGGACTTGAGTTATTTATGTCTGTGTCTGCTCTCCTGCCACACAGTGCATCCCTCTAGGCAGGGACCTTGTCTTCCTCACATCCGTGCCTAGCACCCTGGCTGGCACAGAGCTGGCATTCAATCATTATTTGTTGACTTGAGTGTTCATCAACAACAGAGCTTTTCGATCCTTTTTTGCAATTCCAGAGTTTCTGTTTATGGCAAAGCTGGACTTGGAATTCTCCCCGTGTCGACATCAAAATGATTTTAAAACACCAACCCTAAAACGGTTTTAGGAAAGAAGGCACAACAAAAGAGAAGGAAGGGGGACAGAATGACCTGACACTCAGAGCCGTGTTGCGTGACAAAAAACGGGTAGGAAGGAAGAGACTCCTGAGAAGGCCACTTATTTGGGATTCACGGGCTCACCCGCACTCTCACGGTGCTCTTCTGATAAGCTGCAAAATCTAAAACTCCTTATTAAATGTCAGATAAATCGGCTAGCCCGGGGCAAAGCCGATGAATGGGCGGTGTGGGCTCCAGTCCGGCTCTCTGTAATTGATGGGCTCTGAATAAGCAGAACCAATCCAGGCTGATTGTGGATGAAATGACTACAGCCAGCAAAGTTCACGTAAGAAATATGTGAACTTTAAAGTACTTGAACACAAATCAAGACAGTGAGTTTTTATAAAAATCTTTACTAGCTCAAACCACTGAAGCTCAGAATGACCTTTATCCTTGGGTTGAGTAGCTGGTGGTGTGGGGAATGCGCACACCGTATATCAGGCTTAGAGCCACAGGAGAAGTGCGGTGGGAGAGAGAATTTGCCAGATTCACCGCTCCCAGCCCGCTGTGTCCGTGTCCGTGTGGAAACGGGGGCAGTGACTCGGGGTGTTAACTTCTCTCCATTGTTCCATCTGAGCACATTTTTCCCCGTCTTTTGTGGGGTGTTGGATGGGACCTCATATTTTCACTTGCCCTTTGGATAATGGCATCAGGACTCTGGGCTGCAGTGCCAGCCTCTTGTCTCTGCTCAGACACAAACTGGGCCTTTTGGAGAGCCGGGGACCCCAGACCCGGGATCAGCTGAACTCAGCAACTGTGCTCCACATGGGCCTTGCAGATGCTGGACCAGCCACATTTGCACAGCACCTCTTTGTACCAAGCCCTTCGTGGGGGTTCCTCTCTCCCCCACAACTGAGCCCTCACCCACCCCACCCCTGAGAGAAGGCCCTTTCACATATGAGCAAATGGGAGGTTCTGAAGGTCTTCAGCTATGAAAGGGTAGAGCTGGCTTTTCGGCTGCATCTGTTGGACTGCTATCCCCTGCTCTTTGTACCACACCAAGATGTGTCCCTTCATGACGGACCAGGTCAGCACTGTTCTCCTCGTATTCCAGATGGGGGTCTTCCTCTTTACCCTCACGGATCTCCCAGTGATTTGGTGAGGGCATCAGAAAAAAACACCTCCTAGAGTAACAATTCCATTCTATGACTTGTCAGAAAATTCTTTTCTATAGCAACTATGTGTTCTAATTGATTTATTACTTCATTCCTTCAACTAAGATGTCTTGGGTCTTCTCTACGTACCAGGCAACATGTAGGCACCCAAATGTGGTAGAGTTGATCCTTCCCACAAAGGATGCATGATCTACGGGACAGGGGAGAGGTGACCACGGTTCATTTTATCCCACAGCAGTGGGTAGGAGGACACATACAAGAAATATAGCAAAGGGGAGAACCTGCTTCCACAGTCAGGAGGGCTTCCTGGAGGAGCTGGCCCTTGTAGGATGGTTTGTATTAGGATGTGTAGATGGAACAGAATAAGAACCCTTATTATGTGCTATACTCTGCCTTCTAAACCCGTGTGTTAACTCAACTGTCCCTCGAAACAGCCTTACTAGGGTTTATTGTTACCTTAATTTTACAGATAAGAAACTGAGGCACAGGGAGTTAAATTACTTAAAGATCACAACGGTAGGAGCAAGCCTCAAGCCCAGGCAGTCTGGCGCCCCGCACTCACGACCTTGCCCACAGTGTGATGCTGCCGCTGTCTGAGGGAAGCGAGAGCCTGGAAGAGGACCATTTGAGCAGAGGCGGAGTGGCCTGGAAAGGATGGGGCGTGTGTGGGAAAGATCCAGCGGTCCTGTTAGACTGGAGTATATACTACATGAAGGTCAAACAAAGGTCGACAAGATGCAATGCACATTGAATTGGAGACCACTCATTCATTCATTCCACCAGTACTCACTGAGCATCTACTTGGTACCAGGAGCTCCATTAGGCACCAGGAGACCTAGCCATGGACCAAGGTTTCAAAAGACATGGGTTTGGGCATGAGTACAAGTCAGGGAGGGTAACTTTCCAGAATTATCTAGACATTTCACACTTGCCCTTTGCTTATGGCTGCCTA